TACATTTCAATGGGTCTATCTCTTCTAATTGTGGTACTTACAAACATCGGACCAAAGTTATAATACCATTTCATGCTCATGAAAGGTATAAAAATCGGGGTATACTTTTTTCGATATAGAACTATCCTAGGGGGTGAGATGATTACAATTCCGACTTTACTGTTTTTGGACCACCCTTGTGTACTTATGCATGCCTGGTTAAACTGTTTTTTAAGTCAAATCTGTGCACATTCGGTTTACACATTAAAAAACTGAGAATAACTGCTATTTTTGATCGAAAAAATTAAAATCATAGTATAACGATTTAAAATGATCGAAAAAATTAAAATCATAAAGTAACGATTAAGAATGATCGAAAAAATAAAAATCACAAAATAACGATTCAAAATGATCGAAAAAATAAAAATCATAAAGTAACGATTAAAAATGAACGAAAAAATAAAAATCATAAAATAACGATTAAAAATTATCGAAAAAATAAAAATCATAAAGTAACGATTAAAAATTATCGAAAAAATAAAAATCATAAAGTAACGATTGTAAATGATCGAAAAAATAAAAATCACAAAATAACGATTAAAAATTATCGAAAAAATAAAAATCATAAAATAACGATTAAAAATGATCGAAAAAACTAAAATCACAAAATAACGATTAAAAATGATCGAAAAAATAAAAATCATAAAATAACAATTAAAAATGATCGAAAAAATAAAAATCACAGCATAACGATTAAATTTTGATTTTTATTATAGAAATCATAACGGTTACGGTCCCTGTTAAATACTGCTTTTTAGCTTATACTTACCATATGTGTGGCGTACAGAGCTGGGTCATAATGATTCCTTTAGGAATTAAATTACTCCAAATTACAGATTACAAGGAATTGTAATTAGGAAATAATTCCTTCAGTCCACAGCAAAGGGATCGATTACTTTTTCAATTCCTTGAATTAATTTCAAATGTAATTGGTTTTTTCTTTAATTCCATTACAGGGAATTTCATATTGTAATTGGACTAAATTACGTGCTAGTAATGTAATTTTTTTTCCAATTCCTTTGAAAGGAATTGAAAATGTAATTGATTTTTTTTTCAATTCCATTACCTGGAATTGCAAGAGTACTTTAGTTTTTTCAATTACTCAAAGGAATTGTAAAAGTAATCGAGAAACTGATAGTTCATTCACGAATGTACAATGTGGAATTTTTGATGTGGTCAAAGATTAAAATCGAAAGCATACATTGGACATCTTCTATGTATATCTACATACATATATATATAAAAATGTTGTGTTCGTATGTCACGGTCATCAAAAACCTGAGAACAGCTGAACCGATTTGAATAATTTTTTTTTTATTATTCGGTATAACCAGAACCAATGATATCGCAAAAATTGGGAGGGTTGCCACCTATTTTCAAATTTGT